TCCGCCAACCCACATTCATTCACCAGACCATCAGATAGTGAAGACTTGGTTTCTCTAGAGTGACTGATGCAACTTGAACATGATGTTTCCTCTTGTTCACCTCAGCACTCAGCTGAGCTGAGGACAATAACAGCCCTCACAGCTTAATAAATAGAGTGGTGTCGACATGCAGTGGACCATAGTGTTATTCTGATCGGATGAGTCTTCATGTGATCTTGTGTTTCTGGCACTGACCTGTTTCCGTCGATGAAGGCTTCTCCTCCAGTGGTGCACTCGTCCCCCGTTAGCATCTTGAAGGTGCTGGTCTTCCCGGCTCCATTAACTCCTAGAAGTCCAAAACACTCACCAGGCCGGACGCCCAGACAGAGCCGGTCCACTGCCAGGATACGACCCATCTTCCTGGATTTGTAAACCTGAATACGAGTAGATACACATTAAAGCGTTTGAGTGTAAGTTTTAGCTCCTAAAATAGAAACCATGTATATTTCACACGTATAAGGGTTGTTTTCGCTGGCAGGTTCATTTGATGTACTGGCATAGCTGGACACCATGTTTGAGTAGAACATCCAATTGTGTGCAAACTAAGCTGTAGCTTCTAGGGATTTCTCTAAATGTTGACGAGCTGAGTGTTAAACCTTTGTCAGGTTCTCGATCTTCAGCATATCGTTGTCGGCGTCTCCTCGCAACACTCTTCGTCTCTCACAGGCCACGTCTACATCATCGTCGTCTATAGGCTGGCAGCTGACTGGCACCCTCCTGGACACACACACACAAACTCTTCTCAGTTTTGTCTTTGTTGTTCCTTCTCACCCTCAGCATGTCCACCTCTGCCTCAGACAGCGATATCCTACATTTCCTAAACTGCCTTTGAACAAACACCAGAGAGCAGATAGCTAGTTGCACCTTACTGTGGAGCAGTAAATGGTAAGGTTGTGATGGAATGCTACTGTTGCTACCTGTATCTGTATGTTTTAGAAAAACATCAGCATTTGTATTTACATTGGAAGTGGTTAGAAATCGTGTAACCTTTTTTACTGATTCCATTTTAAACTCCTTTTAGTGTGTGAAAGTTCAAAAAAACTTCAAAAACAAATCTAAAGTGAATCTAATTTAAAGTTGTGTCAGTATAGCTTGCATTGGACCATATTGCACTGTTTATCTCTGGAGTGTGTGCACGCAAAGGCGGAAAGTCCAGATGAAAATAAAGTTGGTTTAAAGTGTCAATGAAAAGAAATGAAAGATAAAAACGATTGAAAGAATCTAAAAAGCTGTCTTGGTCAATTTGCATGTACTTTTTAGACGGTCCCTAATTTCAGCTTCCTAATTTCAGCTGTCAAGGATGAAATCTGATTCAACCTCACGCAGAGAACACAACATCACTGTGAAGAGGGAGTTCTGTCGGATAAAATCACTTTTTCATTTTGAGAGAAAGCATCAATCAATCGTCACTTAATCATTACTCTGAATGTAAAAACAACTGTCTTGTAATTGTGTTGCATTATGGTCCATGTTCTGCTGCTGTGGGTTGAGAAGCTGGTACCTCGTGTAGCCTTCTCCATGATGCATAGTTGTTGATTGTAAAAGCTCTAGAGAGAAGGTTACTCCTTAATCCTGAGGCAGTGACAGTAACACCCGACCCCTCACACACTTGACTCACGGGGGTTTCCTGAGGAAGTTGTACTGGCAGAGGATGGTGATGAGGAAGCCAACAAAGCCTTCGATGGTCATGGCAACGAGTCCTCGAGTCACAATGTCCCACTCGAACGGAGACTTCATCTTGTCAAACTGGCCTGAAAGCACACACTCACACAAATGATCCTCAAGATTCTTTCACAAACATTTGTCTCCGTCAAAAGTGAAAAACGTACAGGTTAACCTTGTTTTTTACTGTCTACTAAATATGAGAAAAGACCCGAACTAACAATGCAACGTCGGGCGTTGTAGTGCTGCTGCAGAGTGAAGAGAGATGATGAAAGAAAACTTTGGTGGACACTTAGAGCAGCGAACAACTTAGTCAACATGTGGGACTGCGTCCTCGTACCTATTTTAGCGTAGTATTCATTGATGTACTCATTATAAGCCATCTCCATCAGGCCGTGGCCCAGGTTATAGTTGGGGAAGATTAGGAAACAGGACTTCATGTAACTGTTGACTCTTTTCAGATCCTGGAGGAGATGAAAACAGTGAAGAGATAAATCAATAAATATCCGAAGGCCATTGTCCCACGCTGCTGCAGTACCAAAGTAAACAGGTCTATTGCACAATGCTCCATATCCATTTAGTAGCTTTTAGATTTATTAACTTCTAAACATTTGACATTTGATATCAGGGGTTAAATCCTCAAAATAAGTTTGGCAAGTTGCAGCCTTTGAGGTGACGATAACCAGAGTCACACTGACCTTATCGTGCTCAAAGAGCTGGAGGAGGAAGGTGGCAACAGTGGCAGTAATGCCTATGAATAGGTTGATGACGATTAGAAACACGTAGGCTGTACTGGGCACCTCAAACCAGAAGGATGCTGGGTACATGATGGGAGTGATGGACCACCTGGAAGGAAGAGCAATCAGCTGAGCAAAATCCCCGAGGACGTCCAAATCTTCAGGACACGAGACACAGAAAACAACTGGAGAACACTTTTAAGCGCTACAGACCCAGTACATGTCCTGCTCAAAGACAGATGGACTGGGGATTGAACCAGCAGCCGTACTATTAATAAACAACCCACTCTACCAACCGTATTATGTATTATGTAAGATTTTTGCTTTAACGTATATGAACAGGTACAGTGTTTATAAATGGGCAGTTGGTCATTCTGATCTAACCCTCTTTCTGTTGTTGTTGTCTGTTCTGTTTTTCATGAACTGGGATAAATATATGAATAAAGGGTGAAATCTGTTGATGTTGAACACATTGATGTTTCTTAAATAGAAGTCGTGAGACCGTGATGTCACCCACAGGTTTGTTGACTACGGTTTTATAGTAGAGTCATTTTCTCACAGACTTCTATAGAACCAGAGGAGTCGCCCCCTGATGGCCAGTAGAGAGAATGCAAGTTTATGGCACTTCAGCATTTGCTTCACTTTGGAGACCTGAGTGTGAGACCACTAAACCACACTTTAATTAGAAATTCAATTACATTCAAATTCAACCAGTCAAGTTGTTCTGCATCAGAGCGTCACATTATAATGCCTGATAAGTAAACTGTGTGTGAGAGTGTGTGTGTGTGTGTGTGTGTGTGTGTGTGTGTGTGCGTGTGTGAAATGGAAGTCTCACCCGTAGAGAAGAAAGAGGGAGAGGACAGCAGGGAAGTTGGTTGGGGAGGTGTAGGCTGGCAGGTCGAACACAAACAGAATGATAACACAGCACGTGGCAGGTACCAGGTAGTTGAGCTGAGGAGAGATGATGAAGAGAGGAGAGGACATGTTCAGACCTGGACAAACATATGCAGTATTTATAAATAGCATCGATCACACACACATGGTATCCTCCTCACCATGTCCCAGATGTAATTAGCCAGCCAGTAGATGACAGGATCACAGCCGCTGACAAACTGCAGGTGTTTGGCCTTTGTGGATTTCTCTGCAACCAGGAACACCACAAAGCTGGCTGGCACAAAGGACATGGCCACAATAATGAAGATGGCAATCACCACATCTGTACCCTGGAGCCTGGAGATACAGGGGAGGGGAGAGGAGAGAGGAGGAGAGGGAGGAGAGGAGGACAGATAGGAGGAGAGGAGAGGAGGAGCGGTGTGGAGAGGATAGTAGAAGAGAGAGGAAGATATGAGAGGAAACGAGGGAGGGGGAGAGGAGAGAGGAGAAGAGACATGAAAAGAGAGAGGGGTAGAGGTGGTTAGAGGAGATAGTAGCAGAAGAAAGGGGTGAAGAGGAGAAGGTGTAAGAGAAGGAAAGGAGAAATGAGAAGAGGAAAGGAGGAGGGAGAGAAGGAGAAGAGGGGAGAGGAGAGAAGAGTAGAGGGCAAAGAGGAGGAGAGGAGATGAGAGAAGAAAGGAGGAGAGGAGCAACATAGGAGAGATCACATGACATTTACACTTGGACGTAAACAATCCAATAATAAACATCCATGATAATTCAGCCATGAATATGCCTACAATGACTTTATGATCCCCAACTCCCAAGAGCCAATTCACTCAAGTTACCTTGTAACACTTTGCTGTTACTGAGTTAGTTGTGGATCCGTGTCGTCCAACGGGATCACCAGAAACACTCGTCACATTATATTTGTGATCTATACATTTGGTTATTTGTATTTGTACTAATAATAAAGGACAAAACTACAAAAATAAGCCCCAAGTTGTAATAATGTCCTTTAAGTTATCCTAAGGAACTACATGTCAGCTACATGTCAACTTACAAGTAGTCCAAAGAGAGGCTGGCACTGGTTCGATTCATTGGATGGTTTGTCAGAGTGAAACCTGCAAAACACATGCGATACATAACATAACAAGCAAATATATGTGGATGATAGGAACCACACCAGGAGATGGCCCAAAACTACAGTAACGGTATTTAACAACACTGATGATGATTTGGCATTTAATTGGGAAGACACATCGAGGCCTTCAAAGTAAAAGCATCGTGTTCCATGTTGTGTCTCATGCAATCACCATAAGCAGCAGGGTTGCCCTTGGATGCAGGCAGGTTGGCGCGCAGGATGGCATTGTTGAGAACGTTCAGATATGTTGGCATACTGTGGTAACCTTTGTTGTTGTACAGAACCTGGACACAAGCAGTCCCTCTGTCAGAGGATGTTCATGCTGTATTAGTGAAGTTCTTGTGCAGGTTAGACTCTGCCCATCTCACCTGAGCTGATCTGCGAACTGCTATCTTGCGAACCATTGGAGGTATCTTCCTCCCAAAGGATGCTGGGATGGATTTCTGGATGTTCCCCACCGTTAAACCACCATATCTATTGGGAACACAGTCAGTAAGACAATTCAATAGTTAAAAAAATACCCATTTTAATGTTTTGCTCAGGTATTATAGTTGTGCATGTCTACTGCATCACTATGTAATCAGGGCAGGAAGTGGTCACAGTGCAGTGCAATGAAATACAAATGTCCGGTCTGTATTGGCTTTAAACTACCAGTGTCTTAAAGATGGGTGAGCGTCTCTGGCAGTGTGTTAGACTGGTTTTATTTGTATTTTGAGGGGTCAGACTATGGCGCCCTATTTCTTTCCATTTCCATGTCACCACGAGGAACATCCGCCTCCATCCGCTTGAGTTGACATGTTTACGCCGATGACACACCGCTTTATTTCTCCTTCAACTCTGCCAGTAACAATCAGTTAATCATTCTCAGTGCATGTCTAAATCAAGTTCAGATCTGCCTATCAAATACTTTCCTTCAACTAAACAGACACATCTGAAGTCATTATCAGAGGCCAAGGCACCACACACAATCACATAATGTACATGCTGCAGCCGGTAGCGCTCATGAATGTTGCTACATTTTTGTCTTAATTTGTCGTCTTTTCGTCTTCATTACTGGAGTGCTTATATGACAGAATACACTCAGCAACACAAAGGAAGCGTTTGGTTTTTATTCATTCGTGGAGAGTGGACCTTGAGGCTATCACTGCCCCCCCCAGACCTGCCGGACCAAACACTACTGAAAGCAGAGTTGAGAGGGAGAGAGTCGAGATGGGAGCTAAGCTAACCCAGCAAGGACCGAAGGCTACTCCACCACCCGATCGGCTAATGTCCAATCGCTGAATGATTCAGGCTAAGCCAGCAACGGGTGATCGTGACTGCTGTGCCCACATCTTTACAGACGCCGGGCTCCATTGTGGCAAAAACACAGTCTGTGAGACAAGAGGAGGTGAGACACTCACTCACTCACTCTGGTCTTTACATCAATGATGATTGGTGCTCAAACACAGTCAAAGATAATGGACAATGTTTACCTGATTTCAAAGTATTAGTGTAAAGATGTTGACCACATAAAAAGGTATATATATAAAAATCTGTATAATCTTAAGGAGGTGATCTCTGCAGAATCAGTTTGAGGCGAATTATTGATTTAAAATGCAGCAATGCTATCTCAGATTTTGAAGCCGTCTTTGATATTAGATTTGTACACTGAAAGGTAATGATAAAAGTATAATTTTGGTACTGAAAACGCTTCCAAACCTCAGTTATTGTCCTAGTTATTGATACCAATATCACAAAATAGGAAATGGTCCCACATCAGTCTCACCTGTGCAGGCGCAGTCTGTCTGACGTGAAGAGCAGATACTCAGAGACGTTCCGGCCTGTGATGTCCACCAGGATGTCACCTGTGACTACCTTCATGAGGGGGGGGCGTCCTCCCACTCCACTGGGGCAGGAGAAGCCCGTCCCCTGCATGGAGCAGGTACAACGCACCGGCTCATGGATGGACAGGGGAAGTGTGGGAGGAGATGTCACGGGCTCTGAGCAAACATAAGAGAGGTGTCTTTAACTCAAAAGACCTGCTTCACATTTTGACTTGTCATAGCAGAAAAAGCACAGGTGGCCACCTTAATGATGGCTCAGCTCCATTAAGGGTCCGATAGAGTAATTCCATTGAGCCAGCACACACGATACCAGGACATGGCTGCACATCATCCTTTCTTTCATTTTCCATCGCTTTAAGACCCATTGTTGTAAAAGCTTTCCAACTGATTCACAGGTGGAATAAAAGATATTCTCAAGACTCAAGAAGCAATAAAAGAGACGTAAAACCAAATATAGTTTGTGAGGATGCATCTAAACAAAACAGCTCGGCAAGTCAACAGAGCGCCACCAGAGGGTTCACTTCAGTTATATGTTTTGTGCCAAACACTGCTTTCCAGCTTTGTTGCAGAGTCTGCACACTTGCGTTTATTACAGGTAGGGTTCATTTCAGGGTATGTATTGGACAATTTAACCGTTGACGTGTGAATTTGATGAACTATTACAATTAATTAATATTAAAGAGTGTCGTGCACACATGGTAGCCAAATGTACTGATTCAAGAATAGTGTTTCAGATTCAGGTTAAAGATAAACCAATGTCTGGTGCCCAGACAGATGCAGTAGCGCTCTAACACACTTTTATCAAATGGGTCAAGAGCAAGTATCAACAGCATTCAAAGGTGGGCTTACTACGTTGTGTCTGGCTCTGCATATGACTGAAGATATCTAAACAAAGTGTCTTTGGTTTGACAAACTGGTTAGCCGACTGGCTGAAGGATGCAAAGGAGTTAATTAAGAAAGAAACCCTTAAAGTATGTCTTTCTTAAACCAGTTGAGAAATGTTGTACCCTGTGTTGATTGTGTGAAGAAACGGTTAAATGCAATGAATGAAACTAGTCTTTTGAGACGGACTCACCATGGACTGTGGTTGGAGGGGCCACTGTGAAGTTCCAAAGTCCGTCCTCAAAGCGAGGATCTGGGTCATCTGATGGTGCCGGTGAAGGGGGTGGGGGCACAAAGTTGGAGAGAGGGACTCCCTGGGTGAAGGAGTCCAGACACATTGAGTCAAAGTAGCGAGCAGCCAGGGTCTTGGAGTTGTTGGCGCTGGGGTTGAGGGTCTGGGCCAGTTGGTCCAGGGTGCTGTTGAAGGGGGTTTTAAGGACGCAGGTCGCACCCACACCCGAGGGCAGACGGAGGGTGTTGATGATCTTCTGTGGGCTGGCGTCTGGGGACAACTTACACCTGAGAGGGGAGGCCACACATGCTATGGATTGACTGAACTGGTTATTGACAGAATGTAATTTCTCCATACTATAATCTTTAACTTTCTTTTTTTTAAATCCATGACTCCATGTAGTACATGTAAGAGTTATTGATTAAGCTAACAACAGAGTCAGGGTGAGTCTCATGAGTCAGAGTCTGTGAAAGCCCACGTGAAGCACGGCTACAGCTCGTTAGCGTGAGAGCCACCGAGCTGCTGTGTCAGCACCACAACAGCTGTTTGGCTACAAAGACGTAGAGAAGTACATTTATGATCAAATCAACGGCTGTTGTACTACACAGACTTATGGTTTGTGTTTCAGAAGCAGATCAGGCAGTTGCTTAGTTTTGTTGGATATACAATACATCTTTATAGCTTTGTACAGCTTGATTTAGACGGTTTCTCCGTTAAGGAGCCTGCCAAAGGTAGAAAATACATATCAATATGGAAATCTGTATGAATGATAAACCGAGCAAATGGATGAATAAATTAGATTTCACCGTTTATACTAATGATAAATCACAGCCCCTCTATGAAGCTCAGTGCGTAGTGTGAGCGTAGTGATAGAGAGTGACGGTGTGGCAGCACTCGGAGCATACTATCGCTGCCAACAAGAGCACAATGAAGTCAGCATTTAACTGTGAATGGAGCAGTGAGTGAACCGTTTGAGCGACATATTATCAGCAAGTAAATCAAGATCCAAGTCACGTTCCTGTGTTTTGCTGAGTGAAGTGAAGTGAAGGGCTTTGAGAGTCCGGTCTGGAAGCTGGCAGAGGAAGGGTTAGCAAATGGCAACCACTGCTGGGCCTTGCATGTTTTCACTTTATAAAGCATTTGGCATATCATAGTATGTTCACCAGTTATTAGTTGGTACTTTCAGTTAGCTCTTATGAGAACTAAGAATTGCCGATTGAAAATCCACCACTCTGGTCCAGATTGACGATGTAACAATCATTTAATGGATTGCTATTCAAATGTGGTACACAATTTAATGTTCCCCTCAAGATGAATATTCATCAGGTCACTATTTAAATTATTCCAATACTTTGGTTTATGACCAAATACCTGATGACATTCCCAGCAGCCTCGAGTGCATTATTGGTACTTAACAGATGTCAGCATGTGAAACTAAGATGGCAAATATGGTACTGGGTATTATGACATCAGCATGTCAGAATAGTCATTGTGAGCATGTTAGCATCCTGACGTTAGCATTTAGCTGATCTTGAAACCAGCCTGTCTGATGACATGTTGAAATTACTTTCCCCCAAAAGCTACGACCACCTAAATGTATCTCCAGCTTATTTATGAACTCTCAGTGTGAATACAATGTGTGTCCTCTGACCTGTACTGGGGTCTGTCTTCGTTGGCGTAGGGGATGAAGTTGCCTCTAGGTTGGGTGTAGTTATGGTACTGAGAAGGGGACAAGATCAGGGGCGGCAGATCTCCTGTAGAACAAGACAGACCGAGTGATCACCAGCCTGTTAGCTCTCCTTCATTTATTTTACAAGTAGTGCAAAGCATCAACATTAACTAACAATGAAGATCACCTAGCATGTTTTATAGCTTGGAGCACTCGGAGCACTGCAGGAAACGAGCAAACATCTCAACATTAAGCAGCAGCCTTGTGCACCACAGAGTTACTATTACATTCTTTTATGTTCCTGATTATTGCTTAATTAAATGCAAGCTGCACTTTTTATTATTAACAATGTATCAAATTACTTTGGATGTGTAGTGTGAAAATTAGCATTTAAAATGACAAACCCACAACAATGATCATAAACTATGCAGTTCAGCTCTGGAGACCAAATTAGAGGTGGAGGGAGAGCGAGTATTGCACCTAGTACAGTCATCAGGAGGACACAAACACACCTCCTAATGAATGCTGATGTTCTTCTGTGTCTGTTGTTTGCTAACATGCTAGCCAAGACTTTATAAGTTGATAATATTTATGTTTTCAGCTTATTCTGCTGCCCTCATTGAATCACATCCTCACACACCATTTAATCATCATACCTGTATTACTGTTATGACAACACCAACTGTTTGATTACACCTGGTTTCATCATTTGAAAAACAACTTTCCCTACAGGACAATAAAGTCAATATTATCTTAATATGTCAGCAATGCTAAGCAAGAGAAGCTCTGCCACCATCTGTCTATAACGGACATTTACTCAACTTCTGTACTTAAGTACAATGATGAGGTACTTTACTTGAGTATTTCATGTTCTTCCACTTTATACTTCTACACCACGACATTTCAGAGGGGAATGTTGTGCTCTTTGCTCCACTATATTTATTAAAGCTTTTACATGGTACTGTTTTGTTGTTCTCATGTCTTTTTTCATTCATAACTCTGGCAAAGTGCCTCATTATTTTCTGGTCCAGATGTGCGGCTGTGGCTCAGGGGGTTAGAGCAGGTCGTCCTTTAACCACAAGTTGGGTTGTAATGTAATGGAAACGCTCAGGTTGTTATTATAAGTGTCTGACAACATGATGGAGATAACGCTAGAGAGAATAAAACACTTTTCTTTAACTTTGGTCCGTTTGTTATTGTGTCACTTGTTGCCGGAAGACAACAGTGGAAACGTGAGTGAGAGTTGACGCGAGGAGTGCCGGTGTTGACTGTGTTGTGTTAGAGTACAAAAGCTTAGGTTAGTGTTTCAGTGTCAGGGCTGCATATTTAGCTGATTTTGACAACGTGGATCTGACTTATATTTTCAGAACGAGACTTCTAATTGATATCAGACCAAATCAAGTGCAAGGTGAGAGAAACTTTACAAAACCTTGAAACATGTTGTCCCCATTAGTCACATAGACACAAACACATGGGGAAGAGGGTCCAGGGTTTAAAACAACAACATTAGCACAGTAAGAGTCTTTCAGAGAGAAGCCACTGAAGGAGGATACAGTGACGTCTTTACATCTGTGCTTCTGAATTCCTGTCTTCAGGAGCAGAAGTCCTGCTTGTTTTCATTCCAGCCATCTCATCAGGGCCTGATTTATAGCTGGGTAGATGCGATTAACGCAGTCAGCTCTGTACAAAAACTGATCCCCGATCAGTATAACCATCAGCGACACTAGTGTCCACTCATCTGCTTTTTCAAGGAATACACTGTCTACCTGCCTGGTAGGACAGAAAAACAGCAGTTTTTTGGTCCAGAGAAGCAGGATAGAAAGCTGCTGTCGACCAAATATGTGAAATCTCACCAATCGCAGGCACAGATAAGGCCACGGTCATGGCCACACAGACGAAGAAGGCAGGCAGGAGGATCTGAGAAAAGAGGCCCTTAGTGTTCCTCTTGGCACAGTGGAACCTCTTGACGATGAGGCCGTGGAACTGACTCAGCTTTAACCACCAACCCTCCAGCTTAAAGCTGCCCTGCCCCTCCAGGACCTCTGGCTCTGGGGACGAGGGGTTCTCTGCATCTCCTGGAGGGGAAAAGGTGGGGGAAGAAATGGTCAAATGAATGAACCTAGAAAAGACCTCTGCCTGATGACCACTGCTGTAATGTTTGATAGCATGATTGCACAATGAGTTTTTTCAGGACAATTCACTTTCTAACCAATTCCTAAGTATGTATGGTTGTTCAGGGCTGCTGTTGCAGAAGAGACAAAGTCCTGCTGAAGCGAGCTCGTCTCCATTCTGAAGTCCTGTTTTATCCGACCGGATGGTAGTAATGGGACATGTTGATCAGTGTCTCCTGCTGTAGTGAGTGCTGTGTGATGGCTCTGTTGCTTATGTGTGGGTGTGGGAATGCTGGTAAGTTTGTTTTTGTTGGAGATGGTTAATGTGGTGAAGAAGCAGGGGGAACAGTACAGCAGGATGGGATGAACTATGCATCTGTAAAGCAACAATAGGAGGTGGGGGGCAACGGACGTTGCTCTGAGTTTGCTGGGATTCTGCTTGATCAAAACTGAGTTTATTGTCTACACTGACTCCAAGATATCTGCAGCTGTGAATCTAGTGTTGAATCAAAGTTCACAAACAAGAGTTCCTCCCAGGCCCTTTCACCGTCCGTAGTTAGCAACATGTGCTGAGGCACAACAGGTTGAGTCAGTCACACGGGGACAAGCGCAAATGAAACGCCGGAGCTGCAAGACCTGGAGAACATGTTTTGCCCCGCCCCTTAGAGAGTCTGTGCACGCCACTTCCCTCGGTGGCCACTTAAAAACAACATGTTCCTCTATAAAATGTTTCAAAAGATGCTTAAAACACAATTTAATTGCTGTTTTGTAATTGCTTTCTTTATGTCTTATTGTCCATGTGTTCCTTGTTTTAGGTTTTATATTATCTCTAGAGTTGTTTCACTCACAGGGACTTGCAGCATTACTATTGCTTAGGAGTTATTGCAGGTGTATAAACCAACATCCCTGAACAAACACAAGCCCACGCTCACCCTCGCCCACATGCACGCACTGTCACAGGTCAGCTCCACTCCCTCCTCATCAGTCTAACTCCCTTCACCTGGTCACTCACCTGGCTCTGATCACTAATCAGGCCACTATATAGACTCCTCCTCTCAAACACTCGTTGCCAGATTGTTCTTTGCTATTGAATGGCAGAATTTCCAGCGCTTTATCCCGGACTGATTTCCTGTTGTCGGCCCTTCCTGCCCCGGATCTACCTGTCCCGCCGGACTCCCGGTAAACTCCCCAGCCTTCTGTTCCTGACCTGGATTATTCTGCTGGTTCTGCTGCTCTGCCAGAGACTTTGATGTGTCCTTCTGTCCCTAAGTTTATAATAAAAGCCGACGGTTCCTGGAATCTTGTGTGCATATACAATACGTTACACGCACATTCAAACACATCGACACAATCACATTTTCTTTATATTTTGTTGTTTATAATGTATGTTTATATATATGTATATGTATATATGTATATGTATATATGTATATGTATATATGTATATGTATATGTATATATGTATATATATGTATATGTATATATATATGTATATGTATATATATATGTATGTATATATGTATGTATATGTATATATGTATATGTATATATATATATATGTATGTATATATGTATATGTATATATGTATGTATATGTATATATGTATATGTATATGTATGTATATGTATATATGTATATGTATATGTATATATGTATATGTATATGTATATATATGTATATATATGTATATATATGTATATATATGTATATGTATATGTATATGTATATATATATGTGTATATGTATATATATATGTGTATATGTATATATATATGTATATATGTATGTATATATGTATGTATATGTGTATGTATATATGTATTATTGTTATTATATATCATATCTTGTCAACAATATTCCGATGTCATTTCTTATGCATATTCATTTAGTGTTCTCTATTTTTTTTGATATTATACATGTGGATGCTTCAAGTGAGCCTTCTACCTCTTCCTGCACTGTGATATTATTTATCTCTATGTTTGTGCAAAACAATTAACTATGAACTTATTGTTGCAGCAGATTATACATAATGCATGCCCTTTTAAATCTTTCCATAAGACACAGAAATTCTTCTTTCCAGGATGTCTGAAATGTGGTTGTGTATTTCTTTGTCTTACTGCTTCTCTTCCTCACCGAGGAGGAAGAGGCCCGAGCGGCTCTCTTCATTGTCACCTGCATGAGCGGAAACGACATTTGGTGTCGCTGCATCGTTGCCCGATAGGAAACAGAGTTTTACAGTCATAGGGCTTATACACCCTGTACAGTGCTCGAAATGGGTTGTAATAACAAAAAGAAAGAAATGTGTTTGTCACAAATCAGGAGGTACACAGGAGAGCTGTGACCACGGGAGGAAACCGTGAGAGGGAAATGACAAATGTGAGTCTCCTGTAAAAATCTGGGGGATTGTAAAATGTATACTTGTATGGTGAACAGGAGAAGATTTATATTTCTTTGTTTTAGTTCATGTCAGTCACATATTCCAACTCCAAATTCGTTCAGATCAAGGCACTAGTGGAGGCCGTCCGTACAGGACATGTACTTAGTCTGAATAACTGGCAAACAAATGTCGAAATACAAGAAAATTGCTGATTAAGCACATTCTCTTAAATCACTAGTACATGCCGCTGAAGGACATATTACGTGATGTATTAACCAACATCCCTTGGTTGGAGGCTCAGTATCTGACACGGCACATCTGCTATCTTGTCGTCTTACCCCTCAGGCTGGCAGAGTCAGACTCTTGGCCGTTGTCAAAGAGTGGGCAGTAATCTCCATAGAAGTCTGCGTACAGTCCCCCTTCATCCCCCCTTACTGAGCCGATGGACGAGGAGGATTTCAGGGAGGACTGGCTCTGACTCAGCCCGGAGCACATCACCAGATTACTCGGCTCCACCTCCGGCTTCTCACTCTCCACTGAAGGTCCAGTCTCACCCTGTGGCGCCCCCAGCCCTCCTGAACCCATTGAGGACTTCCCCACTGAGCTGCCCCCCGGGGAACCCTTCATGTCTGCCAAAGGACAGAGAGAGAAGGAGAAGATTCTAAAGTCTAAATCTAAGGTCAGAGCTTTAATTCAGGCAGTACACACTTTGCAGGAATCTACTATTGTTGAGACAGCCATGACTAACTTATGAAGGTGAGAAACTGAGTGGATGTGTTGAGCTATCTGGAGACACATGAGAGGAATATGGTCTCACCAGCATCACTGTTCTCCAGGGACTGGTCCTCCTCAGAGACTTTGAGGAAAACCTCCTCAAGCGTGGTGTCCATCACCCCGAAGCTGGTCAGAGCCAGGCTGTCCAAGCTCTGCTCTAAAGCCTGGAGGCACACACAACAGGTGAGGGTGTCAAATGACTGCACAGTGTATTCATTCATTTTACCAACATCCCCAATAACACTGCAGGGCTTCACAACATGGCCTGTTATTTATATCATGATTAATTGCAACATTGACCTCTGGAACAATTCTTATTATTTGAGTTATTCATAAGTACTCCTGAGCACTAGGTTCTCTGTCCTCACACAATACTACTGAACAATACGATGGGTCAGGGTAGGCAGGAGCACCTCTAGGAGCCTCTTCATCTTTGCTTAAACAAACACAATCAAGTTATCAAGTATGGCAACATTAAAGTTATATGTTTTCATACGTTTTGTTTTAAGACATCTGAAGGCTTTACTGGTCCTGTCTAGTTTGTAGTGCCAGTTAGCATCATAGCTAACATTAGCACTAAACATCGCCTGGAAGCGTTCATATTTAATCAGAGGCAGCGTAGGAGTGAGTTGTGGGTGCAAATCAGTTTAGTGTCTCCCACATGCAGCCAATCATAATGTGTGACGTCATCTATAGACGTAGGATCCCGAGCTGATTTTCCAGGCCGAGCCCATATTGAACCTACACTGGCCCTTGCTCACTACCTAGGGCCGTGCACTTTGTGCTCGCTGTGCCCTCTATCCCTGCAGGGAGGGATGGCGCTTACTTCCCTTGGGACAGCCTGTCTCTCAGTCTGCAGCAATGTTGGCAATCAAACAAATCAGGGGGTGTATATCTTTGGAAACTTTGGTGTCCCCACTAGAATATTAAAGTTCCGTGGGTTTGTAAAATGTTTGCCTATAAAGTGGGAGTTTGCACTAACCCACCCACAGCTGACTGGTTTTAGGTTTTAGTTTTTTTATTAAAGACCTTCGCTACAAAAGGCAGCCTGTCCTAAGGGAATAAATTACCAGACATGTCAGCTCGACTTGTTGGTAACAACATTGTTTTGGTAAATCTTCATCATGCCAAACCATACTCTATATTGCTGAAGTGAATGCGCCAGTTTTAAGATGTCCTTTTAAAATATTCATAACTTTTCACTGTTCATCCAGTAACAGAAGAACATAAACCAGACCAACGGTTGTTGGGTGTGTCCGTGTATGTGTACCTGGAACAGCCTCTCGAAGCAGCCCTTCTTGACGGCCTCAGAGGGCAGGACGTAGGACAACTCGGTGTTGGAGTCAGACACCAGCAGACATGATGCCACAAACCGGCGAATAAACTGGGTGACCCGAGCTTCTGAGCAAGGTGACAGAGAGGAGGACGGAGACAGAGACGAAGGAGGCTGCAGCTGGCTGCCCTGTCCTGCATGATGAAAGGAAACCACACAACATGATGGATGGATAGAGCAGGGGAGGAAAGAATGGTTAAAGGGAAACAGAGGCGAGTGAGACAAGTAAGGACAAGACAAAGAAAACAGTGCCATCAATAAACACAGGTCACAGTCTAGATGAGTTGAGAAGAGGTTGTAGGCACAACATCAACTGGAGGGAGAAAGGTAGGTGAGGTGCACACTGTTAGTAACAAGCTGAGACAGTGCTATGTCCTAACAGCTAACGAATGACTGACACACTTATGAAGCAATGTTCATGAGTCCAACAGGTGACCTTCATCCCACAAACAACCACCAGTACAACAGAATGTATTCATATATAGCAGTGTCAATGATGCACTTTCAACACTTCTCATAGCCATTATTAAATCTGTCACTTCGCTTTTACAGTCCTGTAGAAATCGCATTTCTGAGGTCCATCAAGGATAAATATCAACAAATCTGCGAGCAAATAAAAGACAACTGGTGCTCCGTTTAAATAAGGTCTGGCCCAATAAACATCCAGCTGATTGCTGTGTGTACACGTTAGAGAGGTTAGAGTGCAAACAGAAGCTGCTAGCAGCTAATGCAGAAGGACTTTACATGATGCAGGTTGCATGATTCACCAAGCTGTAGAAAGATTATACAACACAACAAACCAGGTCTGAGTGCAGTAGACAGCTTATAGACCAGTTTATAGGACCAGATCTGTGTAGAATAGGACCAGATCTGTGTAGAATAGGACCGGATCTGTGTAGAATAGGACCGGATCTGTGTAGAATAGGACCGGATCTGTGTAGAATAGGACCGGACCTGTGTAGAATAGGACCGGATCTGTGTAGAATAGGACCGGATCTGTGTAGAATAGGACCTGATCTGTGTAGAATAGGACCGGATCTGTGTAGAATAGGACCGGATCTGTGTAGAATAGGACCGGATCTGTGTAGAATAGGACCTGATCTGTGTAGAATAGGACCGGATCTGTGTAGAATAGGACCGGATCTGTGTAGAATAGGACCGGATCTGGGTAGAATAGGACCGGATCTGTGTAGAATAGGACCGGATCTGTGTAGAATAGGATCGGACCTGTGTAGAATAGGACCGGATCTGTGTAGAATAGGACCGGACCTGTGTAGAATAGGATCGGACCTGTGTAGAATAGGACCGGACCTGTGTAGAATAGGACCGGACCTGTGTAGAATAGGACCTGATCTGTGTAGAATAGGACCGGATCTGTGTAGAATAGGACCGGATCTGGGTAGAATAGGACCGGATCTGGGTAGAATAGGACCGGATCTGGGTAGAATAGGACCGGATCTGGGTAGAATAGGACCGGATCTGTGTAGAATAGGATCGGACCTGTGTAGAATAGGATCGGACCTGTGTAGAATAGGACCGGATCTGTGTAGAATAGGATCGGACCAGTGTAGAATAGGACTGGATCTGTGTAGAATAGGACCGGATCTGTGTAGAATAGGACCGGATCTGTGTAGAATAGGACCGGATCTGGGTAGAATAGGACCTGATCTGGGTAGAATAGGACCGGATCTGTGTAGAATAGGACCGGGTCTGGGTAGAATAGGACCGGATCTGGGTAGAATAGGACCGGATCTGGGTAGAATAGGACCAGATCACTGATATATTACATGCGAGGTTTTTCTGCTTCAACTAAAAAATACAGCTTGGTCAAATCTAGCATGCACTTCAATGTAGAACTTGTACCGTCACTGAAATAGGGTTAAAAAGGTTTGTGTTTTAATCACATTAGGATCATATTTAGGCATTTTTTAAAACTTTCTCTTTATACACTTCCTTAAGACTTGTTGTCTCTCATTCAGAACATAATGATACAAAATCCATTGAGTTTGTTTTTGTTGCAATGTGTGTGAGGTGGACCACATTCTGGGGTGAAATGCCTCAACTATAGGAATGGAAATAGGGTCATTGCATTTTCTACCATCAATTTGATTGTAAATCTGTCGATGATTTCCAGTGCAACAGTTGGGAAAACTGAAAATAAAGGGCAATTTAGAACTCATGCAAAGAAACCGTACTCACCTCTGCCTTCACTCTGCTTTTTAACTAGTGTCAGCTTGTATCCATCTCCGTAGGTGCTCTTCAGGAAGAGTGGCGAGCCACAGCACTTGAGTTTCCCATGTGAGATGATGGCAATGCGATCTCCAAGAAGGTCTGCTTCATCCATATGGTGGGTGGACAACAGAATTGTACGACCTAGGGCAGAGTTTGCTATTTTTTACTTCATGCAATTGAACATGACACTGAACCAACATCTACTATTTACCATAGTATGATATGCTTAAATACAGCAGATACCTGAGGCGACAGTCCCGTCGCCGGTAGAAACGTTGGCATATGTTTCTGCAAACCACAGATACATTGAATGTGGAAGTTTTTGCAGCAATTAATGTAGCACAGTGAGCTACGTGCAGAGCAGGTGACAGTATATCGAGCAAGCGTTATTGAAAGTTATGTGGTAAAATAATGGGTCGAACAAACAGGACTTTCACGCAGGAGACTGTTGTTCGTGTCCCCTGTAAAACAAAAAGTAAACGTTGAATTTACTCTTCTTAGGTAACAATAGTAAAAGTTGACTTTACGCTTGCAAGGTAACATTATCTAGAAAGTCTGCTCAGGGCAGTCGTTATTTATTGACACTCGTTACGTTGGTACGGTTGCTATGTTTCATTGTCATGTTATTGTTTGAACACACACCTGATCCTTTTTCTAACCTGAAGCAAGTAGTTTTGTTGCCTAACCAATCGAAGCAACTTGTTTATGCAAGCGCAATACGAAGCTGATGTGAATCATATTCATGAAATGTATTTTATGTTCAGAAACGTCCACATTCAACATATCCAGTGGTTTGCAGAAGCATTCAATGCCAACATTTGTTTCTGTACAGATAGTAACAGGAAAATACATTCACCCTGTTTGTACTTGAGGATCAGGTCCCAGATGGCCCTGCGAGCGTAGGGGTCCACCCCCGCTGTGGGTTCGTCCAGGATGACAGCCCTGGAGCCCCCAACGAAGGCGATGGCCACAGAGAGCTTCCTCTTCATCCCGCCGGACAAAGTCTCCACCAAGCTGTGGCGCTTGTTGGATAACTCCAGGTCAACAATCATCCTGGACACACACAGCAAAGCATCTACATGCTGTAGAGATGATTCACTGTCCATCTCAGTGGCTAGAACTACAGTGACTAAGTATCTATAGATAGTAATCATTGAGATATTATGGTGGTGTCTGGTTGCGTGAGGTTGCATTTTGCTATCATCGTATACTTGCCTATTTGATTTGATTGTCTTCACTTATAACTGAACTCACTTGTCCATCTCCTTGCGTATGTCTTCTTCAGCCATGCCTTTGAGTCTGGAGTAGAACCACAGGTGCTCCTCCACACTCAGCTTGTCAAACAGGACGTTGTGCTGTGGACACATGCCCAGGTTCTGACGAATCCGCTCCATCTCCGTGCGGATGTCATGACCATATATGGTGGCAGATCCAGAGGTTGGCGGGAACAAGCCTGTCAGGATGGACCTATGACGAACAGTAGGAATAGCAATGGTTAAACAGTCGGGCAATTCAAGCAAGATTTCTATGTTGTACACCTCAACATATTTCTCACTAAAGCCTCCAACATCGTTAAAATAACTGTATGTTACAAAGGGCCACAGTTGGAAAATAAAAGCTCAGGATGGTCGTTTCAAAGTTAGATGACTTGTTTTTTTTACAGTTGAACACTGATCTTCAGTGTTGACTTTTATCATCACACACATGCACAAGCACACACACACTGGTCCCCCTCACATGGTTGTGGTCTTGCCAGCGCCGTTGTGTCCCAGGAAGGAGACTACCTGGTTTTCATGGAGGTTGAGGCTCAGTTTGTCGAGGGCCAGTTTGTTGCCGGTCTTGTACACCTTGGTCAGTTTGTCTATACAAACCACCAGCGACAGGTGGCTCGGCTCCTCCTCCATGCCCCGCATCTCCTCTGGGGTTACAACAAAAGACGGAGAAATACAGTAAGTGGTGCAAAAAGACGGGGCTTCTTAAAGCTACTGCGAGGAACTACATGTTGATTTTTAGCGGTTCATGTGTACAAAAGCAGCAAAGTTTCTGAGCAGCAGAGTCCTTTAACAAAACCTCTCATTTTACTGCCTCGGGGTCCGGCAGTCTGCCCCACCAGGTCATGCTGCGTCATAGTGACAGACCTGCATCCGTTATAGTTTTGCGCGTATTCATGTATCTGCACTCTGCAGTTAGTGTATTTGTAGGTGTTGAGCTTCATGTAACATGTTATTTCACTTGTCAAATGTTGCAGTGTCATGTGAATGAGGTGTTTACATGAAACAAATAACCGTAGCTGTGGCGTCATAATGAGGTTATTAGGAGGAGGTTCAACTGTAGTAGGACAGCACTGAAGGCTCAGGTATGAAACACACGGCCCACCACTGCAGTAGTTACGTTGTTAGGTAATGATGGTGCGTTATTAGTTTAACACCAACCAGTAGTTTTCTTATCTTAACCTAACCAATCCTTTTACAATATTCACCAGGTGGCATTGTGCCTTTCCTTTACGAGGCTGATATGAGAACATATTTATGAAGCGTTCGTTGGATTCAGAAACGTCAATACTCAACATATTCAGTGGTTTGCAGAAACATACAGTGCCAATATTTTCTCTCGGGTTGCCGCTGTAGTCTGAGGTGTTCCTGGTGAACCTACATGATTTTATCTGAATTAGCCAGAATGCGACCCAGTGGCACCACTGACCAGCATTAAGAGGAACTAAATAGAAAAGGCCAATCTCGCTGATGGGCGTGTTTATTCTTGTAGGTCATAAAGAGGCATCTGTATTAAATTGATATTAAATAAATTTGTTTTCAGAAGTTACATAAGGAATTCAAGTCAGAAGAGAGTGTCGATCAAATCACAAGTGTTAAAGTTGGACTTGGTTCAGTGGATCTATAGAACAAGACAATCTCGCCCTCCAGCCATCCTGGTCAGCCCCAAATAATCATGTGTCTGTACCAGATCTCCGCTGGTCCATAGCACAAGCCTGATCTTCCTCCATCACACTGAGCCTGGCAGTCCCGCCTGCACACCACGGCCAATCCCAGGTCTCGACACGCCCACTGCCCGACCAATAGGACCTCTGTAACGGGAAGTACCACGGGCGGGGAAGCCCATACATTCCTATAAGAGACGGAAAACACATTTGATGTAATCCATCTGAAAAGCTAGATGTTGAACATTGTGAGCAGGAGGGTGAAGATTCACAGGGCGATGGATTCATACCTGGATGCACAGCCTCTATGTACCAAGTGAGCACACCGTATACACCGGCATCGATGATGAGCATCATCATGGACAGACCCAGGTTAAAGTCATCGCCTTCTACCGGTGACTGGCTGATGGTCCTCCACTGGATGCCAACACCTGCTACCTCATACAGCGCAAAATACTTGGAGCCCAGGCCGAATGCTGTGGTGGACATCAGAGACTGGAGAAGAGAGGAGGAACAAGAGTCATCTGGATCATTTAAGTAATACCTCACGGTGACAACACAAGGAGCACATTCTACAAACAGACCCCAGATTGAGTTAGATTAAAATGAAAAGGTGGGAAAAAGAGAAAGGGCCTTACAGCGATGCACTTCTCAAAAGCAGTGATCTTATCGTGGGCAACCTCCTCCCTAATGGCCACATACATGTAGGGCACGTAGCTGAGGAAGTAGATGATTCCTCCACAAGCTGAAGCCAGCTTGGCTTTTGAGTAGATTACTGACACCAAAAAACTGCAAAACAAAGGGAAGTTACATGGGCTTCTTCACCATTCAACAGGTTCATGAAATCACACACACACACACACAGTGGGAGTCCGTCTACTGATTCCTAGTCACAATGTTGGAACAGGATTAAAATAACCTTCATTTATTTACATTTATATCAACCTAGATCTAACAGACTGTGATCAAACAGTTTATCATCCTGTCAATAGTAATGGTTGGGAAAAAAATAATTACAAAGGTATATATGTACTAACCCTGCTTAATTTAATACTAATTTTAATACTAATTAATTATTGTCGTAATAATTGAATGGCTTGTATACAACAAGGCATTTCAGACGCGTCTCATGTGTTTCTGACGGAACAGAAGCTCTTCTATGTTAAATGGATCCAGCCGCTGACACTGCACTGGGCTGCATAACTACTTACATTGAAGTACATGTTTACACCACAGTGATTGCGTGTTGGGCTCTGAGCGCTGCTGAAGTGAGGGAGACCTAGACTTAGTCCTGTCACATTGACATTGTGTAAGTGCATGCACACATGCAGCAGTGCAGTGATAAAATCCCTCCCATCCCCCCTATCATCTCAGCTGTATTGGTGATACAAGATGTTGCTCTGGTCTTTCTTGATCTTGTGTATGAGTGTGTGTGTGTGTGTGTGTGTGTGTGTGTGTGTGTGTTGGAGCATTTAGACCGTGGTGACAGTTTCCTTCAGCCCGATCAGACAGAGACGCCTGCTAGAAACGCGTTGCCAGCAAAACCATTGTCCTCCAACGGGTCATACGCCCGGCATGTGCTCCTCTCTTCTGCTGCACCTTTTTCAGGTGTTGTTAGACGTGCATAAAATATTCTGCGTTACACCGCTCGTCAATGTTACCCGAGGCCCAGGCAGACAATCAGATCAAGCATGAGGCAGCTTTACTACTTCACCTCTTCCTTCCTGTTTTGATGCCAGTAGATGTGGAACAGTGGAACAGTGGGATGATGGCCAATGCAGACATAAGGTTGATATTAGTGGTATTCAATTACGATGAACTATATAAGTTAAGTTAATTTAAGAGCCAGCTAAGTTTTCATTAATCACATTTGATTGCCCTCTTGCACACGCAGTCCTCTCCAGAGGCGCACGCTGTTTGACCGATGAGATGTGCGAAGGTGTTTTCAAGCCTGCAGTAATGCATCTGTCTGATCGGAGCCAAACAGAGGAAGTGTGTCTGAATTCAACCATCAGTCAACTGTTGACAGCTTTGGAAACTGACGCATTTCAAGGAGTTCATAGCGAGTTTAGTGGAACTAGAAGAGCTCACCAGAACATGATGGTGGCCACAGCATAGATGGTGAGGAAGAGCCAGATGACGAAGGGGTCGCTGTGGAGCAACACCCTGCCGTACTTCAAGATGGCTGTCAGAGCGGTGACGGAAATGGACAGCTGGACGAAGCCGGTGATGAACCAAGCCACCCAGTGGACGGCGTTGTTCAGACCCATCATCTTCATCACCTGCGAGAGCGGCATCATGGTTACATGTCTGAATTAGTAACGACATTGTCCTACAGCCCCATTTAAAACTGGTCCACTGTCGGTTTGTGTCATTCAGTGGTATTAAGGGTGTTTCTACTCTTTAGTGTTGTATCTGAGCTTTTGATAAACAAACTAACATAATGTGATTTAATGGACTGCTGCAGTGCTTTTGTATTGCACTTACATAAAGGAATAGGCCAGCTTCCCCTCTATAGGCAGAGGTGAAAACAGATATAAAATACAATAAATGAATCGGAGATTGACTATGCTAACCCCTGCTTGTCTCCCTGTTGGCCTGCCTTCCCTTCTGCTTCATGGGTGCCAGGCGGGATCCCTCATTGGTTGCTGTCCTGGTGACTAAACGTAGCCTCACTCCCCATTCCTTCATGATGTTATTAACACTATTCATTGTTCCATCAACAATGTGGTTGTCACCATCATCCCCATTATTGTGATCATTGCTACTTACCTCCTCCCCCCCCACTCTGTATATGTGTTCTATGTATCACTTAAAGAGAAAGAAAGATCTCTCATGTATTCATAACAACACCATCACAGATCCAGAAGGATGATTTATCATAATAACAGCCCAATAACTATTGCATGTATCTACGGGTTCTGCTCTACCCACGCTTTGGGGAGGCTGCCTTGATGGTCTGATGCCCGCCCCCCCCTCACTGACACATCAGACTGACATGCAACCAAAGGATGTAAGACGGATGACAGAAATATTATCATACGGTCTAACCTCTTTGAGCCGGTGCTCCTTCTCAGCCACAATGTGCTGAATCATCATGGCCACTGAGTAAACCCAGGAGATCACCATGCACAGAGGCATCATGTGCTCGATCACAAACAGGAAGCTGAAAGAAACACACGGCGTCAGGGTGTCATTACCAAATACACACACGTTTACACCATCATGCATTTCAGGATCCCGCACATTTTTAGAGAGTACAAATGTGTAATACTTTAATCAGATATGAAGAACACAATTTATTTTCAAATTGCACACAATATTTTGATGACAAACATGTTTTTCCATCTGTGTCTGAGGATTACTCGTCACTGTCACGCTCAACATCATGACCTAACAGAACCATGACAGAGTGCAGGTCTTACTCGTCTCTGGTGTAGCATGGGTAGGGGAACATCTGGACGTAGTTACCCGGCTCCACCACATCGTGGCCCACAAAGGTGTTGATGATGGCTCTCTCTATCATATCTGGAGGAGTGGGAAATAAAGTCACAGATAGTCACTAAATGTGCAGCACATTTACTTTTTTTTGCATTATTTCCGAAAAAAACTGTCTTGTTTTCTGTCTCTCTGCATTTATCCAAAGACAGTTTTTGAAAAGAGAATTCATTTTTTCATGTTATGTCAACGTAATACAAAATTCGATGCCTCCATAGAATTGGGGGGGAGGTCCACCACATGAGGTCAATGAGAACAGGTGTCAGATAATCTCACATGCACACAATGCTTTGGCTGTTTATTTAGACTGTGTCCTGTCAGTTTGGATTTTTCACTGTGGCTCAACTCTCTGTGTGAGATGAGCGGCTACCCTGCTCTCTTCTTCTGTGTGAGAAAGTGCCTCTGCTGCAGCTGGCATGGGCATATTCACAGGTACGGCTGATTCAGAGTGCAACAAGGTGTTGAGTGCAACAGATTAAAAATAACCATGTCAATTATGTATCAAATCCATATTCAAGCCTGTATCATAAATAATAATTTAGCACTCAGGAAGTATTGCGTCACTTACCTTGGATCCAAACAAAACCGTAGAGGAAGTAGAACTTCCCCCCGGTGTTGGGCCCGGGACGCCAGTAGGCCCGTCTGATCTCATTGGTCTTCTCTGTGAAGCTGGAGTTTTGTCTAATTTTGTACAGAACATGGGGCGGCAGGGAGCCATCTTTGTTAGTCTGGACGATCACACCTAAAACAAAAGTAACATATATCAGGTCAAACGTCTTCTTTTGACTTTAACTCAGGCCTGTTTGTCCTGTTCTCTCTCTATCACCCTGACCCTATAACACACAGTGAATTATCCTGTTCTCTCTCTATCACCCTGACCCTATAACACACAGTGAATTCTACTTGTTTACTCTACTTGGACTGGTTTCACGCTACAGTGTGGTTAAGATGTCTAAAGCAGTCTGTTCTTTAAATTCTGTTGTTCTGCCAAATATACTGTATGGTGCTTTGCTAACATTTTAGTTACAAACATATAAACAACACATTTAAAATGTATACAGTCAATAAATGAGCAACAGAAGAGCCCGAGCTTTAACCACGGGTTGGATTTCTATACAGCCTATAGTTTTAGATTGTAGGCTTTTGTGGACGTGGCTTGTCCTGGAAGTTGTTAGAAATCCTCCTCAAACATTAATAAAATAATAAAAGATAGTGTAATGGAGATTGTGGTATTAAAGGTTTATGTGCATCATGTAATCTTTATGAAATGTTTTCATACAGTCAGAAATCTTCAAGAAGAGTAAACATGATGATAAAGTGCCCCCTTTGCCCTTCTAGTGGAGTAAACATGATGAAGTGCCCCTTGGATGCTCCTACGGTAGATAAAACATTGTAAATGCATTTAGTAGGCGGTCAAGTTACTACAGAACAGCAAGACTTCTACTGTTGAAGTTAATGAATTGTTCTCTGCTGCCCTTTGGAACATGTATGATCAGCTCTTTACAGAGAAAGTATCACAGATACTAGTCAACGTCTGCAGAAAGCATCAGCAGGCTTAAAGGATTCATGCTATAAAGACGCTCATTCCTTACTGCACTGAGGCTTCTTAATGTTTTTAATTCTCTCATCACTAAATTCCAGGAAGTAATAACTTCTAATTGAAGGATTCACCACTTTAAAAACTAAATGTATTGTTATTGTATTATTCACATTAATAACTTGAGGACTGAACGCCGTGGTGCTTGCTGTGTGCAACCGATTCTCACTCCCAATGATTAAATACCGCAGCTCGGTGAGTGCTTCAAGGTTTTATTATTTCAAAGCTCCGTCAGATGCTGAGCCACGCCGCTGCCCCTCGGAACGCCGAGCCACGATTCTGAGTAACTGTGATTGGACGATATGACAATAGAACCTTAGACACTGACAATGACCTGGCTAAAAAGGATCTTTTTTAATCTTGTGAAAAAAAAAGGATCTTGAATTTTTACTTTTTTCTCATAAAATTAAAATAATACAAAAAATATATGAATTTCAAGACAATCTGTTGTCCCTCTACGACCTGTTCACCTCCAGGACCCTTAGACCCCTCTCACCCTGGACACAAACCCTTTTAGTCCCTTTCCTCTGGCAGGAGGCTGCAGTCCATCAGGACAATACCTCAAAAACACTTTTATATATATATATATATAATGTTCTTGTGCACTTTAATGTTTAATTTATATGAAATATGTCTGCTTCAGCACTGTGCTCTACATGGTTTGCATTAGAGCACAAAGAGCTAGCACTGTCAACAAGGTACCATGATCGCAACCGGACACAGACGGACGACTCACTAGCAAACACAGACACGTTGTCCTGGTAGGCCTGGTTTAGGGTGTAGTTGACAATGCTGTCCTCGTCAGGAAAGCCCTTGAAGACGTCCACACTGACCTGGAAGCAGGGAGCAAAGACACAGCAGACATGGATTCATCACAAACTACTGCGAAGCACAAAGATGAAACCACGTTTGCTCTAGAGAAGAGTTGTATTGACCTTTCCTGTCTCTAAGTAAGCCATCAGGTGTTCATGGTGATGTAATGGCCGTGGTCTCTACAGCCAGTGTCAGAACTCAGTGTTATTTTGATTTCTCTGCTCTGTTGCTCTCTTACTAGTGTTCAGGAACTCTCAGTCTGCTCAGGTGTCACAGCTGACTCATGCATGTGGGGTACGTCCTGTTTTGTTGAGAGACACTATTCTACACTTTACCAACCTTAGACATGAAGCGCGTCCAGCCGCAGGCAGCGTTGTCGATGGTGTCCAGCTGCTCCAGCAGGGTGGAGATGTTTGGAAGACTGTAGTTACCCTCCATCAGAGCCTGCATCAGCTCACTGTCTGTGCCATTTAACAGCTCAGGGTGCTGCTGAAGCTCTGCTGACATCTGCAGGGACAGGAGGAGGGGATGAATGGAGACTACACCATTACAAGTCCAACTTCTGTTAATATATGAACTTAATGGGAAGATATAAATGCACAGGTGATTGTTTTCACATGCTGATGGTACTTTATCGTGAACAATGTGAAAAGATGTCTTGAGTCTACCTGCTGTAACCACACCAGGTGGTTGTGCAGCCGACCCTCCTCCAGAAAGGTCCTGAGCTGTGCGGAGATGTTGAGCCACACGTGGGTGTAGTGCGTCACGTTGCCAACGAATGCAAACGTCTCATTTGCCTGAGTGCCAAACGTTTACAAATATTTTATTTTTTCATTTAATTTTGTATGAATTCAGCCATTTGTTGATATGATTTCCACTCCTTTCTTCCTTCACCTCCTCCCTCCATCTCTCCATCTCTCTCCCTCCCACACCACACTGCTATCTGGACCATCTTCAGCCCAGTGGCTCAGATAAGAGCTCTGCAGAGCTGTGCTCACCCACAGATTACCAGTGGACCTTTGTGTTGTTGTTAAGGCCCAGAGAGGCCAACAGCAACACGCTAAAGAGCCAGATTCATCTGTTGGCTTCATGTGAATCCACATGAATCCGGCATGTTGGACAGTGCCTTATTAATGTCTTCTGCATGCCATATAAATGATGAAACCATTCCCTCATTTTACTCCATTTTCTCACATCATGTATTCTGTGAGTCCTTTGGATGCAGCATCTGTCAGTGCCAATGAAACTGCACGGCGTTATCAAGAGTAAACTATACATATATATATAGAAATATATACAGCGGCAAAAGCAGAACAAACATTAACGGACAAAGCTGGTGTTATTCTACATGTTTATTATAAAGAACAAAACCAACAATGTGTTAGTCTGTCTCTGACTTCCATAGCGTCCTGTGGCTCTCAGCCCATTGGTTCAAACTGAAGACGTAAATCTTTAAAACAGCTGAAACATATTTCGTTTTATCAACAGTTGGCCACTGTAGTTTTTAACAACGTTCCTCAAACAGGAAGAAATAGTGCATTCTTTGGGATCTGTCATCGGCAGTAGAATAATGCACATTTGGTGCTCTATAAGTATTTAGGGCAGCAGGACAGTGTATGTGGTACAGGGTCAAAATAAACTAGTGTGTGTGTGTTAATGGTAATGAAGTAACATGACCCCCAGTGGATCTTTCACAATAACAACTTCATAAGGTTATTATGTGTCCATGCTGTAGTTGTAGCTTGTTTCCCTTCCCTTTGGAGCTTCAACCTCAGCACTGAGCACAGCTTTGTCTGTGAAGATAATGTGAACAAGACAGTGCCGTCTACTTGCCTTCTGAATCACTTTGTCCACCTGGGATCCAATGGGGGAGTAGAGGATCTTGGGGTTTGTAGTCATCAGGTGAACCAGTAAACCAAGATTCCTCTGCTCTTTGCTGGTGAATCCCAGAGAACTCATATTCCCCTGTTTCAAAGCCTCAGGCTCAATGATCCTACAACAAGGGCCACAGGTCAAAGGTCATTAACTGTACTAACAAGTCACACAACAAGGGAATGTCATTCTCAGTTTGTATGTTATCCGTCATTCTCCCCACAAATCAGCCCACATGTCTCACTGTTCCCAGGATACATTTGTTACACCACACAAAGCTGCAGTGATTATTATCTGGGTCAATGCTAACATGTGGCAACAAGTGTGATGGACAAGAAACACAAGCAGTCAGACAAACAAGCCAAGTTATCCAAACTCAAAGATCAATTTCAAATTCAAAGTAAAACACCTGAACGTCAGTAACATGTATATTTATGAGGACAGATTGGGTAATAATTGGACCCTTTGTCTTTGTTGTCTCTTCCATATAAGTTTGGGCTGGGGGCTTGTTTACATCTTTTGGGGCTTAAAACCACACATTTCACATATTATCTCTTAAACAACATATTAAATATATTTAACATATTAAACCAACATTTTAGATGTAGTCTAGCTATTAGTGCCGGATGTGACAAAACATTTTACAAGCAACCACGATAATGCTGAAATTGTATTTATTAGGCTCAGCGAGACAAACTGGACAGAAAATGTAATTCTTTAGGATTTAGCCCTTTGATGTTTCAGTGATTCAGAACTCTGCTGCTCGAGTCCTGGTGTTGGTTTCCTGTCAGTTTTCCTATTGATTATTGATTTTAAAATGCTTTACTTGCCTTTAAAGCATTTCAGAGGAATGTACATGCTTGGAATGTATGAACGAGGGCAAACCCCTCAGGTCCCAGGTCCCTTGGCACGAGTCTTTTTAGGTATTCCAAAGAGCAATACAAAAACCTTTGGCGAGGAAGCTTTAAGTTTCTAAGCTCCGACCTGTTGGAGCGGTCTGCCTCAAGATGTGGGTGCAGAGGAACGTGTTTATGTCTGTAAAAGGAAACTTCCAACTCAGTTCAGAGATGTTCAGAAAGGCCCTGCCTTCGACCCATTGTTAGTATAAAGATAGTGGTTAATATAGGTGGTGGATCATCCTTCCTTTCATTCCCTGTACAGCAACATGAGAGCACAGAGACATCGCCATCATTGTGTCATGATTTCATCACCTGTTCTGTCTCACCCACCTGTTGTGCCCACACAGAATCGGCTGTAGTCCGGCCCACAGTTGTACAAATGCTGAAAACTGAGAGTGAGGGTTCTCTGCTTCCTCCTTCACTTTCCTTGCTCCTGCTCCTCCACCTCCCTCTGCTCCTTCCACCCCCTCCTCTCCAGGGATGTCAGTTGTGTTGGGGCCCCAGGTGGTGGCGTTAAGGGGCCAGGACATGTTTGCGGGCGAGGCTTGAGTTCGACCAGCACAGGCTCCTTTGGGCAGCAGTCGGGCCAGGCCGGAGAGCAGGTCCACATCCTTGAGAAGCCTCTCCACATCAGCCATGTCCTTCAATAAGGCCCCAAGATCGGACTGAGAGAGCGGAGCCAAAGAGCTGGACTGGTCCAAGTTAAGCTGGTGGGACGAGGGGGGAGGAAGAGAGGAAAAACATCTAGTAAACAAGTATAATGTGATCCAAACTTGCAGTTACTAGTTAGATGAATGGATGAATTCACTGTCCCTGTGCTTTGAGGGTACTAGACCTCGTCCAGCATTTAAATGTATTTGTCCTTAAGTTACCATTTGGAATTTGTACTACTAGTTTACTATTATGCTGCGTTCAATAGCACTTGGATTATAGAACCGGGTAAAGCAGAAAAATATGACGACCGTCACACAGCAACAAGTGTCAGCTGTCATCCGCCTTCCACTAAAAATGACCTGTTGATGTAGAATGTACATGCCTCTCTACGATGCATCTTAGCCACATCGGGGGCACACAACTACTTCAAAAGGGAGATTTCTTTTAGATCTCCACCTTGGAATGTCATGTAAAAGTGTTGCTGTTCTGGAACAAAAATAACATAGAATTGTCCTAATCATGACTCATTTGCTGTGTATTGTAACAGAAGATAGGCTTAGCTCTGTCTGACTTCACTTTCATTTTGTTTTGCTTTTATTTATGCCAAGCAGCAACATAATGGGCTGCAGAATAAAACCCCTGGTTGGCCCAGGGGTCTCCTGAAGCAGCTGACAGGTACCGGCAGGCCAGAAGGGCTGCAGCGGCGGTGGTCGCGAATGCTAAAACTCGGGCATGGGAGGAGTTCGGGGAGGCCATGGAGAAGGACTTTCGGTTGGCCCCAAGGAGGTTCTGGCAAACCATCCGACGGCTCAGGAAGGGAAAGCAGGGCTTACCCCAGGCTGTTCTCAGCAGGGGGGGGGAACTGCTAACCCGGACGGAGGACATCGTCGGGCGGTGGAAAGAGCACTTTGAGGAACTCCTAAACCCGACCAACATGTCCTCTGCAGAGGAGGCAGCGCCTGAGGACCTAGGGGGAGGCTCACTCATATCCCTGGCAGAGGTCGCTGAGGTAGTCAAAAAGCTCCTTGGTGGCAAGGCGCCGGGGGTGGATGAGATCCGCCCTGAGATGCTGAAGGCGCTGGACATGGTTGGGCTGTCCTGGCTGACACGCCTCTTCAATGTCGCATGGGGGTCGGGATCAGTGCCCATGGAATGGCAGACCGGGGTGGTGGTTCCCATCTTCAAAAAGGGGGACCGGAGAGTGTGCTCGAATTACCGGGGTATCACACTACTCAGCCTCCCGGGGAAGGCTTATGCCAGGGTGCTAGAAAGGAGGCTCCGACGGCTTGTCGAACCTCAGATTCAAGAGGAGCAGTGCGGATTCCGTCCCGGCCGTGGAACAGTGGACCAGCTCTTTACCCTCGCAAGACTACTGGAGGGGTTCTGGGAGTTTGCCCCACCAGTCTACATGTGCTTTGTGGACTTGGAGAAGGCTTTCGACCGGGTCCCTCGGGGGGTCTTGTGGGGGGTGCTGCGGGAGTATGGGGTGCCGGACCCGTTACAACGGGCGATCCGGTCTCTGTACGGCTGCAGTAGGAGCTGTGTCCGCATTCTCGGCAATAAGTCAGACACGTTCCCGGTGGGTGTTGGCCTCCGCCAGGGCTGCCCTTTGTCACCGGTCCTGTTTGTGATTTTCATGGACAGGATATCTAGGCGCAGCCTGGGGGCGGAGAACGTCAGTCTCGGGGGTCTCGGGATCGCCTCTCTGCTGTTTGCAGATGATGTGGTCCTGTTAGCCTCCTCGGATCGTGACTTCCAGCATTCACTGGGGCGGTTTGCAGCCGAGTGTGAAGCGGCGGAGATGAGAGTTAGCACCTCCAAATCTGAGGCCATGGTGCTCTGCCGGAAACCGGTGGATTGCTCCCTCCAGGTGGGGACGGAGTGCCTACCTCAAGCGAAGGAGTTCAAGTATCTCGGGGTCTTGTTCACGAGTGAGGGTAAGATGGAGCGGGAGATCGACAGACGGATCGGTGCAGCTGCAGCAGTAAAGCAGGCGCTGCACCGGACCGTCTTGGTGAAGAGGGAGCTGAGCCGGAAGGCAAAGCTCTCAATTTACCACTCGGTCTACGTTCCTACCCTCACCTATGGTCACGAACTCTGGGTCGTGACCGAAAGGACAAGGTCGCGGCTACAAGCGGCCGAAATGAGTTTCCTCCGTAGGGTGGCCGGGCTCAGCCTTAGAGATAGGGTAAGGAGCTCGGTCATCAGGAGGGAGCTTGGAGTAGAGCCGCTACTCCTTCGCGTCGAAAGGAGTCAGCTGAGGTGGTTCGGGCATCTAATTAGGATGCCTCCTGGACGCCTCCCACTGGAGGTTTTCCAGGCACGTCCAACTGGGAAGAGACCCCGGGGAAGACCCAGAACACGCTGGAGAGATTACATCTCCCAGCTGGCCTGGGAACGCCTCGGGATCCCCCAGAATGAGCTGGAACATGTTGCCGGTGAGAGGGAGGTCTGGGTCGGCCTGCTTGACCTGCTGCCACCGCGACCCGACCCCGGATAAGCGGCGGAAAATGGATGGATGGATGGATGGAGAATAAAACCAATGCGGAAGTTCCAGAAACTGTAGTTCTGTGCCCCTTGAGGCTGGCTCAGAAAGCCAGTCAATCCCACAGATGATATAAGAAGTGGATGTTATCACTGTGACATCACCGTGGGTTTGTGGACGACAGTCTTTAAGCCTCAAGTTCCACACTTGGTTTTTCTGCCCTGAACATCTTGTTTTTTTGCAACCAGAAGTGACACAATGTTTTTTTTTAAATTGGATTATTTAATTAACTCACAGTGAAAGGGTTAAAGTTCCTACACTATCCCCTAGGGAATAACACCGTGCAGCTACCACTGCAATCCGTCACTTTGGGTTAGAAGCAGGAAAAGACCAGACTGGTTCTCAAACTAAGAAAGTCCTAAGTGCTCTAATAGCTCTCATCTTCAACATGTTGATTGGGGGATGAGTTATGAGCGCTCATGCCAGGCACTCAAGGGTGACAGAACTACTGATTATTTTGTTGAATAACAATTATTGTTCTGTAGTAAATGTTTCTGCTGTACCTTCTCACTGACAATCTGCGTGTTGATCTGCTCTCTCAACTCGAGGCTCATCAGCCTGAAGCGCTCTGACCTTTGAACCTCCCCTCCGCTGCACACTGCGCTGCGATAGGCCTGCAGCACTGGCCGCTGCTTCTCAGGCACCAGCAGGATCTTACTGAGCTCGTTGGCCCCGCCCTCACCACAGGTGAGGATCTCCAGCATGGCTCCAGTCAGAAGGAACCCCTGTGGAAGACAGAACCAGACCATTTAATAATGTCAGCATCCAAAGGTCCTGTCACTCTAAAGCCTGCTGCATATTATTGTATGACAACATCAAATGGTAAACACATTGAATAATTGGAGCTCAGAGTTCAGATTAGTTCAGATTAGTTTCAGTATATCGACTCAATGTTTCAATGCAGAGGCACAGAAAGCATGTAACATCAAACCAGTGGAATGTCCTTTTAAGTTGAACTAAAACTCAAAGACAGACTTTGACAGTCCATTCTCTGCTGTCTTAGTCATGAACATATGATAATACATATATAATAGAGTTCCTTTCCTGTTTTCACACAGAACTGGTCTGGTTTGTGAACTTATTTGGTGACTGAGAGTAAATGGCGTGTATGTCTCTGTAGGTGAGGGTGTGCAAAAAGGTCAAAGGCTCCTGCTGTCATAGAGGGGCCGAGATGTAAACAATTGGTTCAAAATAGGGAAAAGATAAGAAAAAACAAATAGATTTTGTTCAGGAAACATCACAGTCATCGTGATGTCTTTAGATTTTGCTAAGTCACTCTAAGGTATGACTGTGTATTTGACTGTATTTAACGAGTTGACCTCATTATAGTGTCTCCTACTGCATATTACGTTCCCTGCCAACTTTTTATGAGAAGAAGTAAAAAACAACAACGAACAAGAGTTTGAGCCAAGGGTCAACATCTGGGTGTGAGGGTGAAGCCAAAGTGAAGCCTTCTTTAAACCTGCATCTTGATAAACGCCAGCAGGGGGCGACTCCACTGGGTGAAAAAAGAAGTCTGATTGAATGGGTGTCTTTGAGAACATGACCCTATTTCTCACTTGAATATATACTTTTGTAACACTTTTCTTAATGTGCTGATGTTCTCAATAGCTAGTCTTAAGTCTTCTTAACTTGTTCAACATGGGCTGGCTCGTACTAAAAGGCGCTCTAAGGATTCAGATATTCATTGTTTTGTTTTGTTTTAAGCCAGTTTTTTTGCAAGCCAAAATGAGCATATTCACCTCGCTAACCAAGCGGGCTAGTTAGCGCTAGCATTGGGTGGTAACTTACCTGGCTCCGTGGGGCCTTGCTCCTCCCCAGATGTGTGCTGCTATGTGTGGCACATCAGCACTGAGATGACCTCACCGTACTGTGTCTGCTACCAACCCAGCAGAGAGCGCTGCTCATTGTATTATTGAGTGTACTGAAGTGAACAATTTGTGGTGAAACTAACTGTAGTTATGCCAGCTGATAACTGTCACAACTACCATGAAGTGGAACTTGGTGTTCTGATATGTGTCACTGTGTGTCATGTGTAGATATAAGTGTGAATCTAGCTTCATCAACTTACCTCCAGATGACCAACTGCGTCTCCAGGTTTTTGTCTGGTGTCTTTTGCCCCCTGAATCCAACTTGCCCCTCCTCCATCTCTGAGAGATGTACCATAGATACGGCTGTACACCTACAGGACACACACACACACACACACACACACACACACACACACACACACACA